ATAAAACCCATTAGCCTGAAGCCCACCAATTTTAGCCAAAAATTACTTCTGCAGTCTTCTACAAACAGTAGCTAATGTAGAGGATGGGCTCCTCTGTTCTTTGTATTTAATACCCATGTTTTGCTTATTTATCATCTAAGTGGGTAGATGAAATTTATTTCTCCCTCTCTCATAACACTAGAAGTCATTGTCATCCAATGAAGCTGAATGTTGGAAGATTCTGGACAGATAAAGGAAAATAGTTTTTCACACATTACATAGTTATATTTTAGAATTAATTCCTACAGGAGGCTGTAATGGTTGCCAACTAGGATAGTTTTTAAAAAGGACCAAACACATTTATGGAGGACAAATCCATCAGTTGCTAATACAGTGGTACCTCGGGTTAAGAACTTAATTCATTCTGGAGGTCAGTTCTTAACCTGAAACTGTTTTTAACCTGAGGTACCACTTTAGCTAGTGGGGCCTCTTGTTGCCGCCACACTATTTCTGTTCTCCTGAAGCAAAGTTCTTAACCCAAGGTACTATTTCTGGGTTAGCGGAGTCTGTAACCTGAAGCGTCTGTAACCTGAAGCATCTGTAACCTGAGGTACCACTGTATCTACAATGGCTATGCTCTGTCTCCACAGTTGGAGACAGTAATGCTTTTGAATACCAGTTGATGGGTAGTTATCTTTCTGTATACATTCTTTTCGTACCACCCTGGTACGTTCTATCTTTCTGTATACATTCTTTTCGTACCACCCTGGTACGTTCTATCTTTCTGTATACTTGGTAGTGCTCCCTTCTCATCCTACTGCTTCTATTGTGGATAGTAATTTGCACCAGCTCTCTCTCCCTCCCCTTTCTCCACAGCTGCTAGCTGTAATTCAGAGGATTGGTGGACAGAAACTTCTTCGTAAGTATAAAATCAATGGCAAGGTTCTGGAAGGCTTGATTGACACGGGCGCAGACATTTCTGTCATATCCAGCAATTGCTGGGACCCCACGTGGCCCCTTGAATCTGCCTCTGCAGTTTGGGGTGTGGGTGGACCTCAAACCTCTTCAAAAAGCGTTCAATGGTTGCCTGTTTCTCTGCCTGATAGCTCTGAAACCATTGCATATATCCAGCCCTGTGTGCTGAAAATCCACCTCAATCTGTGGGGCAGAGACTTACTACAACAATTACAAGCTACCATTCAATTTAATGAGTAAACTTGCACTTCCCCTCAACTGGAAGTCTACCACCCCTGTATGGGTAGAACAATGGCCCATAACGGGGGAGGAACTACTTGCCTTAAAAAATTTGGTGAATGAACAATTATTGGCAGACCATATTGAGTCCTCTGTTAGCCCCTATAACACTCCCATCTTCGTCATAAAGAAGAAAAGTGGGAAATGGAGATTTCTCCAGGATTTAAGGAAAATTAATGACATCCTTGAACCCATGGGGCCCTTGCAGTGTGGTCTGCCTAATCCGAATGTGATCCCCCATTCTTATCAATTGGCTATCATAGATTTGCAAGATTGTTTCTTCTCCATCCCCTTACAGGAGAAGGATCGTAAATTCTTTGCTTTCACTGTTCCTGTGTTAAATAACAACCAGCCCACGGAACAGTATCAATGGAAAGTCCTACCGCAAGGAATGTTGAATTCCCCTACCATGTGCCAATATTACATCAGCCATGGCACACCCTGTTGCTTAAGCCGTTTGTCTATCATTTTACCCAAAAAGCATCATTTATCCCGCTCTCGATATTGCCGCTCTGTGGAATTGACTAATGATTGTGATGATTCTGTTTCTCTTCCCAGTAGATCTGAATATATTTCCTTAGCTGTTTCTCTCTTAGGAGTCCCTGGATTGGCTGTACAGAATAGTATGAACATTAACTCTTTAGCTTGTTCCGCAGCAAAAGCTCTGAATTTTACTTCACAAGCTCTTCACCTTTTGAATAAAGAACAGAGTGAACTTCACCATGGACTTTTACAAAATCGCGCTACTATTTGCTCATGCTTCATCATTATGGCTGTGAACAAGTGAATGACACGTGTTGCTTCAATATTATTGATAATTCTAAAGCCATTCAAAAGCAAATCTCTCATTTGCAAAATCTTACACACCACATTAAACAGGACGTTGGATTTTCTGGCCTCTGGGATTCATTCACCCAGTGGCTCACTGGTTGGTTGCCAAACCTGAATTGGCTTCGTAATCTTTTTCAATATGCTATTGTCATAATATGTATATTAATTCTGCTATGCTGCTTCATCCAATGCATTCCTGGTCTCATACGTTTTTGGTCTCAGCTTTTCTACCCCCCTCAGCCACCTAATAAGTGGCAGCACCAACTGTAAATAATAAGGGAGATCTGGGCGAACTTATTTTGGGCATGCGCTGGCATACCACGTATCCCAAAGTATTTTTGTCCCATCCACCCTGGCGAACTTATTTTGGGCATGCGCTGGCATACCACGTATCCCGAAGCATTTTTGTCCTATTCACCCTGAAATCATATAGTAACACCTCGCAAATAAGAAAAGAAAGGGGGAGATGATGGGTAGTTATCTTTCTGTATACATTCTTTTCGTACCACCCTGGTACGTTCAGTCCACACTGAGTTCACACCATATCAATCTGTACTTATCCCTCTGTGTACATTCCTTTCTTACCATCCTGGAATGTTAAGTGCACACCATATCAATCATTAGTAATTGCCTGATACGAAGTGTTCCTCCACAACCTTTTAACCTATTGATGATTAATGTCTTATATGCAATCCTTGCTTTGTACTTGTGTTAACCAATCAGCAACAAGCACATATGTGGCAATGCTGTAATATTCAATAAAAGGGACTCCCCGACACATGTTCGGAAGACGCCTCCCGTATGATACCTACCACTCGTCTGTCGTTTATTTCAACCCAACAGCTCAAAGCTGCAGGAGGGGAGAGTATTTCTGTGCTTACACCCTGCTTGCATAGGTTTCCCATGGGCATCTGGTTGGCCACCGTATAAACAGGATGCTGGACATTTTTATACATATGACAGGGCTGGAGAACTGCATTGCTGATTTTGGCATAGATCAAATTTCAGAGGATGGCTGTGTTTCAGTTTGCGTTTCTTTTAGAAAGTGCAAATTAGGTAGAATCACTTTTAAATGCCAACTACAACAAATGGCCTTCTTCATTGTGACTTTTGAACATCTCAAAGAGTGAGAGGGCTTTTGCATCTTCCTTTGATTCTCTTCCCATAGAGTCCACATGCAGACTGAAATGTTGTCCCTGTTCTACTGAGTTACATCCAGATATCCAAGTTCCACTTTTCACCCCACTGTGGTTTGCAAAGTGTACTCCATCAATCACCTATTTGGTCTACTTGCCAATGTTTCAGAATAGCATTCATTTCCCTTGATTCAATAATACATGCAGCCTCTTCACTGCAATATGTTGTCTTCAGTGGTTGCCAAATTTCCTAAGATATAATTCAGTTAATTGTGGCTTCAAGTAACTTCCAACTGAGCCAAAATGTCCATATACAATTCCCAAACAGAGCACCATTAACATACATTGGATTATCACTGATAATTCATTGTAGTATTACTTTATCAGAGCTGAGGGCAAAACAGGGCTAGAATCCTGCTTATGACTGATAGCTTTTAATAAAATGACCCCTAACAAGTCCAAACGAAAGTGTAACTCTATTTGGTATAGATTGTGTTGAACCCTTTCTCTCACGTATCTAATTTGAGAATGAAAATGGGAATGCACTTTGGGCTTCACTTTTAGTCTTTGTGGAACAATGCAGAGTAATGCAGGGCTTTAAATAAACAAGCAAAAGCAAAAAAGCAAAATGAAAATGAAAAACCATTGGCTGAAACAGAAGATTAAGTAAAGCAAATGGAAAGTCTTCCTGGAGGTTTCAGAGAATTTTCTCTCGACCTATGCTATTAACTGGTGGGTTCCATTTCATACCTTTTCATTGATGTGGAGGAACAGGGGAATGAAATTGTTGCCATTGCTTGAAATACACATGGCACAATAGCGAGTCTCCCTATGTTAATGTTCTTTGAATGTATTCTAAGTAGGTGCAAATCTCATACTGAGTTCCAATTCACACAGAGAGAAATAATGTAGATAAACATATGGGTGCTTTAGTTCTGATTACAAGTGATGCAGAACTTGTAGAAGGGAGGAAAAGTGACGCCAATACTGTTCTTCTTCTGTGCTTTCAATAGCCCTAAATACTGACAATGAAAAGAGAGCTACTGATTAACTACTGATATTAGCAATTAAATTGACTATGCACATGCTGAAGGCACAAATTGTTATTTAACAAGAGTTATATATCACATAATCAACAAAAGCCTCTAAGCAGTTCACATAAAACAATATAAAATGTACATATGAAAATACCAATAAAATCAAACTCTGCAAACAAGTGAATGTAACATTTCACAAAACCAGCAGCTTCAAGTCATATCTATCTCATAAAATGGCATATGATTTTGTACTCTTTGTTGAACATTGCTATAGTTACACAGTATTTAAAAAGCAACATAAGCAAATGCCGTGCAATGACACAATTTTTCTTTTCTTTTACAATTTAATCTTTAATATAGCCAATTCTGGAGCGGATTCCTCTCTGCCTTTTAAAACTTCTTTGATCTGACATGGCACCGTTGGTTATGATATAACTCTAGGCTATACCTCAGTATCTCATTCCACATGTGAGTGTTGAAGAAGACAAAGGCTTCATTAATTTTGATTTATTTGAAATAAGGCATTGTTTCAGGAGAAAAGATAAAGAGGAAAAAATGACCGTGCTATACAAGTGAAAACAGAAGGCCAAGCAGCATCTCACTGGAAATAATTAAGAGCATCTGAGACTCTAGGACAGGGGCAGGAAACTAGATCTGCCCCCATTTCCCTCCCACCCACCCACAGCTGATGTCACAACTGCTGATGTCACAATGTCAGGTGACCTGCTTTACTTTGTGTGTATAATTTTGAAAACAAACTGCACAAGGATAGTCACAGCAATTTGCAGGCAGAAACAATCAACTGATCTGTGGTGCTTGCAAAGCTCTGTCCCTCTGCAAGTTCCAGTGATCATAACAAATCCTGTTTTCAGCCCAGCCATGGCTTTGCCTGCCCCACACCTCATGCCATGTATTAATAACCAGACCTTTGGACTGAAAGTTATCCATCACTGTTCTGGGTATATAAAGAACTTGGGGGGTTGTTCTGATCTCCCCATGGCTGGAGTAAGTAGGAAAGATGGAAAGGGCAGTACAACAGATGGGACCAGAGACATCATTCCTAAAGCAAGACTGGCAATTCCCCAACCCTTTCTGCAAAGCTATTGAAAATATTCTTCCTATAGCCCATCGTGCAGCCATCACTCTGATCATAGCATGGGAATATTACTCTTCTTAACCAATGACCTCTGAACATCTAGTAAGGTGAGCCTCCATCATGACTCATTGTTTTTAATATTCATAGGAAGTGAAACTATAGTATTGATTAGCTATTTTCATCTTCTCTGCATTAATCATGAATGCATTTGGAATGGATCATAAATGCAATTCCCCCTAATATCAAACTTGGTGGTCCTGTGCCAATGAGCAGGGTGGAAAATGCAGCCACCCATATGTCCAATAACTCCCTGGGCATGGAAAAATATATATAGAGGCTCCCTCACACACAAAAATGCTCTTCTGATGAGGGATGTGCATGGTGCACAAAGCATTCTGATAGGAATAGGAAACAGCTCATCAATATTTCTAATTTTGATCTAATTTTGTGTATTTAAAATGAGCGTATTTGAATTGATCATCAATTCCCCCTAATATCAAACTGGGTGAACATGTGACAAATAGGGCAGTGAATGGAATGATCTACATCTCCAAAACAACAACAAAAACAACAACAACAACAACCCCTAGGCATGGAGAAAAGGAAGGGCACTCCCCCCCACCTCTAAAAGATCCTCTTCTGCTGAGTTGAGAAAGGGGTGTAGTTCAGTGATAAAGCATTTCCAGATAGGGCTGGGGAAGACTCCTGTCTGAAATCCTGGAGAGCTTTCCTTGTGTAGACGGTACTGAGCTAGATTAACCAATGGTCTGACTCAGCACAAGACAGTTAGCTTCCCATGTTCCTTGTAGATGTACATGGTGCATGAAGACATCTAACAGGAATACAGAAGGTTAGAAATTGCTTGCTTGTTTAAAAGCAATCTGATATTTTGTTTTTTTGCAACATTTATTTGTAACTATTTAAAGACTGTTCTGCAGGAAAGCTTTGAAACTCATTCTTGTGGTGGAGAGCAAATTCATTTCTGCTCTGCACAAGGTCCAGATCAGGGATTCTGGTTGCAGTGACTAACACACTTCGAGGTCTTAGTGAATAGCTAAGTGAATATGTCAACCCAGTGTATGGCAGCTATGAAAAAGAAAAATTCCATGCTAGGGAACATTAGGAAAGGAATTGAAAATACAACTGCCAGTATCATGGTGCCATTGTACAAATCTATGGTGTGGCCTCGCTTGGAACTTTTCCATGTTCTGAATCTTATGGAATGTAATTTCTTTATATTTTAAATTATTTGTTTTCTATCTCTGGTAATTCTTATTCATTTTGTATGATTTTTGTGTGTTTTCCCATTGCAGAAGGGCAGTGGTCTTTTCAGCTGTGCACATGCATAATCTCAGGCAATTCTTCAATTAGATGTGCTTGGATGAATTGATTTGATGCTAAATTACACTTTCTCAGGCTGAGAGAAATTGATAACCATCTATTATGTCTGTGAATTTCCATCTATACCAATCTGTTTCTTTCCTTTCAATTTTGTATACATTTTTTAAAGAACTCAGATAATATTATTCACTTGACTTTACAAGTGCCTTGTTTTCCACCTTGTTTAGTGTTCAATGAAAATAAAGGTAGAGCTAAACATGGGTAATCCCATACAATAACCAACTCATTCTCTGAGTACCGGTCCTTATGAGGCCTTATGCAGTAGCATCATTCACATACAGTGGCTGGCCATATGCTTCCAGGAAACCCACCCCCAGCAAGTCATACAAGCAACAACCCCTTCCTATTGTGGCCTTTCTCCACAACTACTGGTATTCAGTGATCTGCAGCCTGTCAACATGGTGGTTCAATCCAACATCACAACTGGCAGCTGCTGATGACCCAACCTCACTGAATGTTAGGCATGATCAGATGGTCCCAGCTTAGATCAGATACATCCAGAATGATTCAGGGCTGTCAAAAAGGGGGAGCATTAGGCAGCAAGGAGAGAGGAGAAGAATGAGAAACAGAATGCCTGTGTCTCCTTCCCCTTCTCCCGACCCAATGTTTAATAAGCATACAAAACCTAATATTTTAGGTGTTTTCAAATGTGCCAGATCATGACTGTATCAGCCTGAGGTCATCCCATGTTGGATCAGTGCCACTCAAAGCACTGAATGATTCCCCAAATCAGGTTGGGGTGTGTGCACAGCCTGAGCAAGTACTAAGTTGCTCCTTCCTGTATTAGTCAAGTTTATCATTTGGACCACATCCCATATTCTTAAAATCCAGTCTTCAAGTGTTAGAGCACTAATTTTTTTTCCTAGTTAATGCTGCATGAGCAGATGCTACTAGATGTATTTTAATATCCCTGTCATCTAAGAAGACTAGATCTTTTATAAAACTGTAGAATTATAACTGGGGGCTCTGCTGGTGAGTCATACTCTGTTATACTCCCTATTTCTCTTACAATGGTTGCCCATAAAGTTCTTATTTTGTCTCACCCACACACCCAAACCCAAATAAGCTGTATATTGTCATACATTGCTTTATGGACCATCCACTACACCTGTCATGGGCCAAATGAAGATGTCACAGAGGGGATGGTGGGATCGTGAGGAGGAATAGGATAAGCTCAAGGAGTTAGAGCCTGAGCTGGATACAGGAAGTGGCCTCTGTCTCTGGGAAGCATCTGTCTCTGGGAAGGGAGACAGTAGTTTAGGAAATAGAGGCATAGATCCAAGGGAGAGACAAAGCAGAGGGGGCTGAAAATGTTCCACCCCCATGATGTTGAACACCCCTGGTTAGACACCTCCTACTGTGGAGCTGCCGCAGATTCCTCCTTTAGGGAAGGAGACATGTTAAACTGGATTCTGAAAAGGCACCAGTGTTGCCTCCCTCTTCAAGGTTTAAGAAAGGGAGGGAAGGTATTTCCATCAGAATTGTGGGAGGAGAATAGAAGGTATTCATTTTCTTCTCCCTGAAATCCCCCTTGTGCTTCTCAAGTGACTGGGAAATAGCTAAGAGGGGTTAATGTAGGGTTGAATTGAAGAGGAAAAGGTTCCTTTGGAGGAAGGGTGGGATATAAGAATAAATGAATGATCTGTATTTCGAGCTGTCCCTTCTGCCTGCTTCTTGGTGAGTGAGGGAGGTGGATGTTTTGGGCCATGTAAGATTAGGCGGTAGGTCAGCAGCAACCTGGGAGCGCAGATTGCACACTTCTGAAGAAGAAATAGAAAAAAGGCAAGTTTCCTAGAGACTATGCATAGTGACTGGAGAATGTGCATATTGCCCAAAGGATGTACAACATACAGCCGAGATATGGACATTTAGCTTTTAGTTGATTTTAATTATTTATTAAATATTTTAAATTGCTGTTGTTGTTTTTTACTGTTTTCACTGATCATTTTATTGTTTTGTTCTTTTGTAAACCACTTTGAGGTTTGTTTGTTTGTTTGTTTTACAATCAAGCAGTCTGTATATAAATTTTATGAAATACATAAATTAAAAAAATTCCTAAAGCCTGGTAGAGATTATGCATAATGGCCAGAGAATGTACAAAATTCAGCTGAGATAAGCAATTCTCCAAGCCTGCTGGGGATTATGTATTGACTGGCAAATTTGCATAATTCCCTGTTCATGGAAGAATTATGTGTACATTTTCCATGAGGCCTGGTGAATGTGCATTAGGTATGGTTATTATGCACATTAACTACTCAGATTACATTCCCTTTCTGACACACACAAATACACATATATCCACTTAAAAAGGTTGTTTGTTTAAGGTTTTTAATAGCCATCAGAAAGAGGACAGAGACAGCAGTATTATGGAGTAGAACAATCTTTGGAGTTCTATCCCTTTTCAGGATGGACTGTTTGTATGATTTTAAGAGGAAACCTCTCTTTCCCAATTACTATGGTTTCTAAATGTCTACCACTGTATAATTTAGAGGATTTAAAAATGGTTTAAAATGTATCACAAAAGATCTTCCTTGACATTTTAATGAGCAATTTCTAAATTATGATGATGGTAATAAAACTTTTTAATGCCCCCTGGGAGAGAATTATGGTTACTTTCTTTCTTTACAAAAAAGAAAATTGCTTCAATACTGTTTTCTTGTGGATTATTTTAAAAAACCACATTTGCCTCCAAAACTCTTTTGCATGTGAGCATATTAAAAATATCAAGAGGAACAATGCTGTCAAAATAAGTTTATTTCAGTGCAGTAGGAAAGGCATTGCTTAGGTGTAAAAGAAGTTTTAAAATATGAATTGTTCACATTTTACATTGCTTGTATAGCCTTAAGAGCTGAAGTAGAGTCAGCGATGGAGAATTGGAGACATCACTCTAAACCAGAGTGTAGACTAGGCTTCTTCACCCTCAGCTTGACCACAACTCCCATAATTCCTAACCAGGTTAGCCAATGTATAGGAATGGTAGAAATTGCAATCCGACAACATTTTATCACTAACATAGCAGCTTCACCCCACTAATCAATAATACTTCTGCTAGTTGCGACCCAAATGTTAGCTTGTTTCTGCATCTGTTGGGGTGTGTGTGACTTGTGTTACATATGTGATTGTGTGTAGCCAGAACTGTCTTTGCTCGGGGTTCAGTTTCTCCCATGAGTCTCAAGCAGAGTGGGAGTAGATGGTAGTTGTATTAGAAATAAGGCCTCATGTTGTGCACAGCCTGCCATTTTACTTGCTACAGCTGCTGAGGTTAATTTTGAACCGTGTGATAATGGAGTGCAAGGCAATTAATTATTTCCCCCTCCCTTTTAACTTAAAATAACAAGCTTTGACTTAAAGAACACAACACTTCCTTGGTTTTTAAAACAAGATGAGATGAAATATTGCAAAGTAAATTAATGCAGTACATGGCAGATGGGGCAAAGCTCTGAGCAATTGGTGGTGCCTAAACAGTGAGAAGTTGTAATGTGCAATGAGCAAGGTTTGGGCAGTTTAAGATGTTGCAAGGACAGCCATATTTTTCCCTTGTCAATTCCTGGAGAGTATGGGGAGGAGGCGATAAGCTAACAAATTCTCTTGACTTGAATTTGCTTGCAAAAGTAATAATAATGAACTTTTGTGCACTCTTTATGAGGCTTTCTTCACCTTTTCCAATTATGCAAGTTGATGGATTTAGCCGTTTCAGGGGGGCAAAAAGGTGGGAAAGTACTGAATTTAACAGCCTGATACTTCAAATGGAAGGCTAGGGAGGAATTTCAACTCCCGCTGACATTTCTATCAATCTCGCGTTCTCTGGCCAATCAGCTATCTGCACTGCTCAGCCAATTCCAAGCCAATGCTATGGCCAGGTGGTCTTTCCTAGCAACTTCTAGGGCACCCCCAGGCAAATTGGCTGTCCCCCTTCAGTCTAGCCAATCAAGGAACAAAGGGTTGCTCCAGATAAGTGTGTACCAGACCACAGTCTTAAAGGTGCTGGCACTGTGTGTGTGTGTGTGTGTGTGTGTGTATGTGTGTGCGTGCGTGCGTGCGTGTGCATACACCCACACACCACATATCTATGAATGAGAAAATTCCTGTATGCAAAGATTCAGTACTCTATGGTGAGAAAACCCCAAGAGAGATTTAAGGTCACAAAATATGCAGCAAAGTAAAGCATGGAAATATAGGTTGATAGGGCTTTACAATATGGCCTTCCAAGTGAGTTCCAAAATTACCCTCTTCACCCAGCATAGGAAGTTTGGTAAGTTAAGAAATTGTTTACTTACAAATTCTCCAAGGGTCACATTCATGTGCTTCAGAAAAGCAATAAAATACAGCTTTCTAACAAAGTGGTAGAAGTTCCTAGATCATTAGTGTAGGAGCTCAAGCATGGCTGCTGAGAACCATAGGGCTGAGCTGGAGAAACCAGCTCAGACCTCTTCACACACTGAGTTTCTCAGGTAGACTGGGTTGGAACATGAAACTTGATTACCTATTTCCTTCCAAGGTAAGGGAGCCAAGCCTGACAGGACAGCTTACTCTCTGGCTGTAACCCATTCATGCATTAATTAGACTTAAGTATGTTATCCCACAAAAAGCCTTTGCAGGACTGTTAACAAGAATCTCCATAAGCCTTACTGTATTAAATGAAAATAAAACTTCTCTGCCAGTCCGTTTTTCTTCTTGTTGTCTCCTTTCCTACTCGCAACTCCTGTTGACATACAGTCTCAAAATTTCAATTATTGAGGTCTCCAGGTTGGGATAGGAAGCCCCATGTCTGAACCTCTGGAGAGCCGCTGGTAGAATCTACACACACACAAAAATGTTCTGCAAATTCTTTTTAAAAGCATTTTTAAAAAATACATTGAATTTTCCATAAGGCTCACCATCACATTCACATTGTATATTGCACTTAAAACACACTTAAAACTTTTTATTGCAGCTGTATATCAGTCGTTGGTGGTAATGGATGAACAAATGGTACAACTCAGTATAATGCAACTTTCACTACTCTAAAATATCCTTTCTCAGAGCCAAGTTTCCTGTTTGATCTATGTGACTAAAAAAATCACAAGGTGCATGAGCTCATTCATTGTTCCTTCTCAGCAAGGAGACTACAGAAACCCGTTGAGGTTGATCAGCCATAGAACTCTTGGCATGGGAGACTCCCCTACAATCGGCATTTTGTCATTTAACTTTAGCACCATGCCAAATGAGGGATTTTAAGAATGTGCAGTATTATGATTATGATTATTCAAATCTTCTTCAGGGGTACAAGTGATCCAGTGGTGGGTAGCCTAATTGCATGGCTGAGGCAATATTGATTGCTATGTTTTATGGTGCCAATTAATCTCAAGCTCTTTTAACCAATGAGTACGTCAATATTTATGATTGTATGTCTTTGCATTAAACGGGGAGGATTGTGGGAGCAACCTGATTAAGCATCAGCAGTTCTGTGGCTTCTCTACATTTGTACATGATCTCTCTCTCTCTCTCTCTCTCTCTTTCTCTCTCTCAATATCATACACCTAGCCAGAAAAGCTGCCCACGAGGACCTCTTTATTTGCTGTCAACTTTCTCCCCTTGATGAGGGATAATGTGAGCTCTTTTCTCCTGACCTTTACAGTAAGTAGTCACGTTGACTGCTGAACACTGATACATTTGCTCCATTACCTAGAAAGGTTTTAGCTTAAAGCATTGCCCTTGCTTCCTCTGCTGAAGAAGGGAAAAGTCTTTTGAAACAAATGACTGATCACATACTCCAACTTAAAGATTTTTCAGTCTTTGGTCTGAAACACTCTTTCAGTCTCGTCAAGCAAGTATTTGAAGCCTATAATTAAATGTTGTTTAACAATATTCTGTACCTTTGGGAGCTAAAATTATTTTAATATATGGGATTTGTGTGTGTGTGTGTGTGTTTAACTCACAGCGATAATTTTGCTTTAAAAAGTAATAATAATCAGGCATTCTGTTAAGTTCACAGCCATGCATTCAATATTGCCTCAGCCAAATGACTGCTATCCTGAAAACCAGCCCACATATATGTAGAATCATCAAAGAAATAATAATAAAGTTTAAAAAATAAAAAATAAATGTAGGAATATTTCTCAGGGAGGAAGTCAAAATCCCCCATACATTTAGGAAGTGTGTGGCCTACTTAGCTTGTTTTGAATTAAATGCAAAATAAAAAAAATAGATGAGGTAGTTTAAGCCTAAGGGGAGTTCTGAACCACCATCATAATGCTCTTTCCAATTCCTCCTGAACATGTGTTGGAAGGAATGCACTGGAACAGGTTGGCTATTTAAATTGAGTATTTAAAGAGTGTTCTTTTGGTTGCCTCCAAACTGCTGAGATGCTCTCTTCATCTTCCCTGCTGGGGCATCATAAACTGTGATAAAGCCAGAACAATGAAAACAAGATTAAGTAATATTTTTTGGTGGTGGTGGTGGGGCAAGGACATTACCCCAAAGGGAAGTTGTCAGTGGTCACCTTCCAGTAATGGAAGGATCAAGATCCACAAACAAGATCGGAATGCAACAGCATTATACTGATTGCATAGACCACTTTAAAAACAGGATGATGGACTAGATGGTCCTTTGGTCTGATCCAGCAGGGCTCTTACCTTAGAATCATAAAATCCTAGAATAATAGAGTTATAAGGGACTACCAGGGTCATCTATTCTAACTCCCTGCAATGCAGGTGTCTTTTTGCCCAAAATGGGGCTTGAATACATGAATCCATGAATTTCATGTTCTAGTGACTGAGCTTCCCCAGCTTTTCTTATCCCGCAAGCTGAAAAAGTTGAGAGAGCAGCTTAGAAGGTGCAGGTCAGGCCACAAGGCACACACAGCTCTTTCCTCTACCATTTTCCCACTGTTCCCCACTGCCTAGCCCCAAATCGTCATTTTGAGACATTCTGTCTCATTCTTCCTAATGGTAGGGCTTGAACTGGTCAACTGGCAAATGAGAAGTTGCCCAAGAGGTATCAGCATTATTGGAGACACCTCAGGAACAGCCTCCCATTCCTCAGTGGAAAGCACTAGGTGAAAAAAAGTAGTCTATGCCACTACTGCCAATATAAGAATGCCTTTCATTGTTGTGGTGGAAGGAAATTTAATTTCAGGTGTATCAATAAGTTAAAAAAAATATCAGGGCAGTAAGTCTGTATTTAAACACACAAGTTTTTTTTTCTCCCAGGTTTACAAGCTTTAGGAATATTTTAACAACACTTCCTTTTTATCTGAGGTCAAAGCTTAAATTTGCAACTTCCAAATCCTCTTGCATTAGTGGAAATGCTAAAGAAAAGCTTGCCAATTGTGGGACCTTTGCTGAACACAGGCAGCTCTGGCTGCAGATAGTTTTAAGAGTTAAGTGATAGGACTGTTTGTCTCAGGATGCAAACTATAATGCAGCTATTAGTGATATGAAATACTAGCTATTAGTATAATCCAGAGGTAGCTGCTTTAATCTTCTTAGCAAAAGGCCACTGTTATTCATTAAGGCCAGAATGTGGAGAGAAGATCTAGATTGTACTTATATGAAATGATTAAATATTCATTTCAGTTTATGTATATAAAGCTAAAAGAATGCCCCATTTTACTCCATTATTACCTCTAACCTCCTAAAGCAATTTTAAAACTATATTATTCGCAGGATACATAACTATAAGTAGAAAAGTTGGTATAGCACAGTTGAGGTGTGTGAGTATAGAAGATTTCTACCCTACAGAGATGAAGGGGACGCGTTCCCTTCTGGGCAATTTTCTGGATATCACTTGCATGTGGTGGGAGGGTCAGATGCAAAATGGATGGAGCAACAAATATAAATGCTACCTTTGCTAAATTAGCTTAGTTTCTACACATGTCCCTTTCTATTCTCAATCCAGGAAGCAATATGCATGAGGAAGACTTCAGATGCAAAATGTATGGTAAAATGATTGTCTTTATTACATATAACACATTAAAAAATCTGCACAAACCAGTTAACCAAAACAGCTAGATCAAAGGAGTCTGGGCAGGTGAGTGATCTAATAAGGAGGGACCTGATCCCTCACATCTCTTGTTTGCAACCCCAATCTGTGGCCACATGGCAAAGAATTTAGAGGAAATTCTCCTTCATTGCTGTGTGAACCTTGGGTATGTGGCCCTGACACACACTCCCTGGCCCCACTGTCCAGTATTCACTATACGTACAGGGTGTTGGGATACTGCCAGGGAGACAAAGTCCATCATGGCCCCCAAGCCGGCTGCCAGACGATTAGCGACACGAGCTCCAGAAATAGCCTGCCACACTCTCAAGCTCATGTACGCTCTATCAGCAGATAATGCACAGCGAAAGTTGCACGCAGGAGAGCATTATTTACAAGTTTTATTCAGCGTTGATCAAAACAAAGAAAAACATGACTGCCTGCTTCAGTGTCTCTGACACAGAGAGAGCGAAAACAAAAGACACAACAGAAACATCCTGTGGAACAGGAAATACGCAGACTCTGTGACTCACAAAGCCTGCCCCCTTTTAAGGTGGAACGGAAATATCCTAACACAGGGACCCTCCAGGACAGAGGAAAGAGAAAGGGACTAAATTGTGACTTTAACCCAACATTGTCTCAGGTGCTTCATCCATCAGTCCTTAAAATTCTCTCATCTACCCAGACTAAATGCCAATTAAATCCAATTCACAAAGCACAACTGCAATAGAAGACCAGCCAACAGTCTGAAGTAGGTAAAACAGAGGAGTCCAAAGGGCCAATCATGGATGTTATGTACTGAAGTTCTCACCCTGGGCTAGCAGGGGGTTACTGTAGATAGTTTTCACTCAGGTCTACATATGCAAATAAGGGATTGAAAGTGACGTTCAGTGATTGGATAGTTACAGAAAGTTGTTACAGTTGCGCTGTACTGGAGCTCTATATAAGCAGGCTGGCGGAACCCTTCAGTTCAGTTCTGTTCTGGCCTGTGAATAAACAATAGCTGTTTGAAGAATTGCTGTGTCGTCTGATATGTTCACCCACAACTTAACACTGGACTTGCCCACAAAATACTTCTCAGTCCCTACAAGGGGCAACTACTGTATGTTGAGAGCTGCAGTCTTAAACATGCTTATCAGGGAGTAAGTATTAATGCACTCAATGAGGCTTACTTCTAAGTAGACATGTGTAGGTTGCCTGGGGAAACATCTACCCATGTTGTAAGGAAAATCAATGACTTCTAATAATCAGTGTACCTCAAAGATTCAACACACTAACAGAATCACATGTCAAAAATCATTTTAATGCAAGTTCACTAAAGGTAACTTGACAAAGAAGATTAATTATGCCCTGTTTTGTTCCAGTTTAATTAAAGTCTGGGTGTATTCTGTGTTAATGTCTGCTATTCATTGTTTTCTTTTATTGTTTGATCTCAGAAGTTGTTATTACATCTAATTTAGGCATTTCCAATTAACTCCCGATCATTCTCCCTATTTTCGGATACAATGATTTCATGGTCTTTAAGCCATTCTGTGGTGTTCCATTCTTATTCAAGAACATATAAAAGATTGGTTTAAAATGTTAGCTGTGTGTCAAGCTCTTATTTTACAGCTGAACACTGCATTTCACCATCTTTTTCTGCTTGACAGTTCTCTTTTAGCAAGCAGTACCAGAATCCTTTCATAATAGGCTTTTAGAGCCTTTCCCCAACCTGTAGGAAAGTCTATTAGATTGTCTTTCTACTGACTTAATGAGCTGAAGCACAGGTTTTGGGGTGTTTTAATTATAAAAAAAGCAAAGCATTCCGCAGCTCAGTCATAGACTTCCTCCTGGTAAACAAAGCAGGAGAAGAGACATGCAAATAAAGCCAGATTCAGCAAGAAATCTGAATTTCAAACATGCTGTACTTAAAACTTTTCCCTGCTGAGCACAGGATGCTCTGGGATGCATTAGAAATTCTAATTCCGGGAGGAGAGCTAATTCAAAAAAAATCTGCTATAGTTCATAGATGCATAATCCTTCCTGTGCTACAAAAAACATGTCAATTAAAGCCTGTCATTTCCCATGTGGCTCATATCAGATATGTAACAGCCTTTATTATCTTATTTTAGTGTGACATATTTATTAATTTAAAGCAGGGGTGGCTAACCTATGCTCTCCAGGTGTTGTTAGGCTTCAGCTTCCATTAACCTCGACCAGTCTGGTAACCAGGTAAGGATAAATTAGAGAGGGAATCAGTGCAAAAATATAGATTTCAAAAGTGCACTGAAACTGAATTATTGGCCCAAAGCTCTTAAAACTCACAGCTGTTAAAGCAAAATTATGTTTGATTGATTTAGCATTTTCTTCTCAGCCATGCATAGCACCATGTAGTTCCATTTTCCCCATTAATGATAATGCTATTCTTATCTAAGAGGGAGCAACACTTCCTCTACACCTAGAGTGGCCATTCTGGTGCCCCATCATATGTTGCTGCACTTCAAATCCAATCAGCATTAACCAGCATAGCCAATGGTGAAGAATGATAGAAGTTTTAGTCAGGAAGGAACTACCTTAGCTACCTTGGCCTACAGTCTGGTTCATGCATACAAATTCACCCACCTACCTACCCCATTTTGCCACACACCACACAGCAGCTATTTCGTGACTAGCAGCCATGACAGTCTCAAAATCCCTAATGTGTTCATTGGCCAAAAAAGCTTGGCAGTCCCTGATCTCCTTTATTTCAGAAGGGGCCCAGCTCATTCAATAATGTAGGCTGAGGGCCTTGTCCTGGTGGCAAGACACTGTCCCCCACACCAATAGGTGTATGTTGTGTGTGTAGCCCAGCCCCAGCTTAGTATATGAATGAGTTTAGAACTCAGATCTACAATTTGAAGGTGCGTAGACTCCTTATAAATGGTCAGGGACCCTGCTTTGTCTACAAGGTGTATGTACTCAAGTTCTGTACAGAGGTTACTGAATTCAAGCAGGGTCCCCCCACCCCCACCCGAAGTTCTCACCTGTCCATGTGTTAATTCCACCCTGTTGGTTGTCTGAATAAGACTCTAGTTGTCTGACTGGGGAGACCCCATTGTAGAAGCCATTCTGGTTCTGCTTCAGCAAGTCTTAGTCTTCTACAGGCTTGGTAATTGTATCTTCAACAATACTTTCCAGTATGTTTCCCCAAACAGGCATTATGCTAACCTGCCTGTAATTTCCAGTAACACCCCCTAATCTCCCTTTTTTCTTCATTTTTTAAACTGTGTAACATTGGCCACTCTCAAGTTCTCAGGTATAAAGGTTTGTCTTGGAGACAAATTGCATATTTTTGTTAGAATATCAGCAATTTCACAACTGAATTCTTTAAGAACTCGCATGTGGATGCCATATGGGACTGGTGAGATTGACAGATTGATCAATTCTCTATAAGGCCTAGAACTTTACTTCTTCTCACTCTTAGTTGCCTCAGTTCCTCAGAATCCCTATGTGTGAAATTTAGTTCTGGCAGAGGTATCATTCCACTACCCTCTTCTGTGAAGACAGACACAAATAATATATCCAGCTTCTCTACAATCACTTTTTTTTCCATTGACAAGGATGTTCTTTGATAACTTTGCTTCCATTGTCACCCAAAGGTCCAACTACCTTCCTAGCCAGTCTCCTGCTACTAATGAATTTGATTCTTATTATTTGTTGTTGCTGTTTTTTATGTTACTAGCAATTTTCTCCTCAAATACCTTACTTCCATTTAGAAAATACAAAGCTGAGAGCAACTGAAAAATTGCATTATTCTCATGAATTAGGCTTACCTGAGCTGTTCTAACCTTCATGACAGTTTTGGAAATACTAAACTGAACAGATGGTGGTAGTTTTACACAATCACCTCAGAACAGATTTTGACACAGTATCCTATTGTTTAATCAGTGGTGTATGAAACGTTTAGCAGAAACATCAAGCAGCTCTAGAGTCTTTAGTCTTTTTTCATCAACAAAGCTATAGAAAAATATATTAGGGAAAGATTGACTAAATATATATTTCTAGTGAATTTGAAGCAGTTATAAAAAGTGATATTGATTACTCTTTCAGACATTAGACCAATGATGCAGTCTTCAAATATACTCTCACAGTGAAGTACTATGCAAGTCTACTCAGAAGAAACTGCCAGCTGTCTTCAATGGGACTTACAGTGTAATCCTAACTTTATCTACTCAGAAGTAGGGATGAATGAATTTCTTTTTTGGTTTCTCATTTTTCCAATCTTAAATTCAGTCCTCCACATGTAGTTTTCATGAAAATTGGTCAGCATTTTTCTCCTTATAAACCATTTTAGTATATAGTTCTAATTTGCATATTTTGCCTAATAGTTTCTTCTTTTTCTTTGCGTGCTGAGGTCCCCCAAAACACCCTTACCCCAATAACTCACACATCACACATGAATTTTTGTTTAAGGTTTTTGGCATAAATTTTGGCCACAACTTTATTAACATACAAATTGTGAGTGGTTGCTTAGGCATTGGTTCTGACTATCTGTCCCCCCCCCCCCCGCCTTGGGGACAGCACTGACTCCCGGATTCCAGCGAAAGTCAGTGTGGAGGAACAAGATCAGGGATAACTGGAGCTGTGGCACAGACCCTCGGCTTCTCCCCGCATGCTCCTAGGGGCTTACACGGCCGAAACCCGATTCCAGGGGTTTGGACGAAAGGATGGTAAGGCCCTGAATTCCTTTAACGGAATTCCCGTGCAGCAGCAGCATTGGAGGGGCAGGCACAGCCAATCCATACCCCTCCACCAACCAATTTAAACCAATGCCTAACTGCCAACCTTACAAGTTGTGACGATTTGCTACGCAGTAGGCAAAACCCAAAAGGCACACACTAATCAGCCCAATGGAAAAATTCCTACCAGGCCCCCGCACCAATGCGGACGACCCCATGACAGGCATAGCAAGGTCAAAGCGCAAGCCCA